GCTCGTCCGCTGCCGCCACCGCCGACTCCGAGTCCGCTCCCTCCTGGAAAATTGAGAATGCCTAAGATGAAAGGGCATAATTAAAATTGTTCTCGAAACGTGAGTCTCGATACCGACGTTCCTCCTCCGTATCTTTTTTTTTTTAACGCAATTGCCATTTTAAATGGAACAAAGATATTCCATTATTTTTAAATTAAATTTGCTTATAATTTAAATTAAATGTACTTTAATATATTTAGGATAAATAAATTTTTCCATAAAACGGTTTTTATATTTGACTTTCAATTTTTCGGGAGATGTTAGAGAGGCGAAGGAGAAGCGTATTAAAAAAAAAAAAAAAAAAAAAAAAAAAAAAAAAAAAAAAAAAAAAAAAAAAAGAAGGTAATGTGAATGACTTAGACTGGATATATGTCGGTTTCTAATATTTTAATCAAATTTAATGAGCGACCGCGGTGAAGAAACTTGCGATTGCGGCAACGAGAATAGGAAAGATGTAAGATATCGATTAGAAGGTCTCTGGAGGATCATAAACGATGTGTTTCTATTTTCACTTTTGAAACGTCAGTCCTCCAGAGTTACTTTTTGTCCTGATGATTTGCTTTTTCGCGAAGGAAGCTTCGTCGTACTTCAACTCCGATTGTCGAAGGCATAAAAAAAACTCCATCGAGATCGGAGATAAGCGAAAAAAGATATTCGCGCACAATGCTTGCGATCTCTGATTTTCAACACTTAATTTTAATTAGCGTAATCCCCGCGGGAAACGAATTTGTACAAAAGTATCACAGAGAGCCTTTATTTCTGTGTGTGTGTGCGTGTGTGATATAGTTTATTTTTTTCACTCTTTCGCAAAACTGGATTCGTCGAGAGAATGTTTGGATGCGCTTAAATTCGATTCAACGTCACGCGAGGGATCTATCGATTATACATCATCAGCACAAAAAGCGGCGGTTGATACAATAATTCACATTTAATGTTCAATACGTTTAAATACAAATATCCGTACAACGAGATACGAACATTGATCTGTAACTATACTGTGTCATAGTTGCGTGTTTCTATGTATTTATGTATGTATATACTTAATCGCTGTGTGTACATGTATCGCATTGTTGTAAACACTGATGTTATAACGAGATACTAGATTCGCTTAACGACGATAACTTTCGCTAATTCAGAGTTTCCGTAGACTGTATATGTATTTTTATGTCATAACGAACAAGAGAAAAATATGATGAATGTATCATCAAGAATGTCGCGAATGTTCTCAAACGAGGCCGAAGAAGCCGAATTTTTTTCCTCTCTAAAATTGAATTTTGAGTGTTCCTAAACTGTCGCATTTTTCTTCTGTCATCTTGTAATTTGCATTAAAAAATATGCAATTTACTAAAAACTAAGTATAATATTATATTCGGCACTAAAAAGTCAAAATTTATAAATTAGGATTACTTCGGATAAGTAACTTTATATTGAAATCCATGAGGAAATGTTTCTTTCATAAATTCATTATTTTTTAACCAAGACAAATGCGACAATTTTATAAACACCCCGCGTATTGTTTACTAAGCCATTATTTACTTAGCCATAATCAATATTGTGCAACTAAAGTACGACGCTATGAAGAAGCTGTTTTTTCGATGTATCAGTTTGCTGTTACTTTTCGGACATAATTATATCTATTGTGTATCGTAGACAGCTAATACTATATCGAAATTAATATATCGGCATTAAAAATTAGAAAGAGAGGAAGAGAAGCTTCGCTACTAATCCATTTGTTTCGTCAGTATATTTTTTCTTTTTGCAATTCTCGTTAGTATTTCCTTATCCTTATCACAGCCATCGTTAGCACTACTGGACTTCGGGATTAATCATTTCGCACATTCTTCGATCCGTTAGACCTTACAATTTACTACTTAACAGTTAAAAATTTAACCTAATTACAATTGCATCTTTCGATTAGACGCCAAGTCGAGCTCGCATTTCGGATATCCAGTCACAAAAAAAAAAATGAAAGGTAGAATTGATTTTAACATTAGAATAATAGAATTAAATTTTATTGATGCTTGCGCAAATTAGAAATTATTTAGTTGCTAACTTTTCACGTTTGATATTAAATAATTATCTATACGTCGACGTTTAATTTGTATATTTAATTTTTACATTCGTCGATAGATTTTTTTACTCGAATTAAATAATATCACAATACTTTCGCCAATTGGATTATCCCTAAACGATGGAAGTTTCTCTCATGGCGCATGGAAAGATGCCTTATATTAATCTATCTACCTTATTGAGATGAAGTTTTCAACGTTTAATCAATCTTCTTATCCTCTAGCAGCAATCGTGCTGTGCAACATATTGCGTATCGGTTCAACCAATCGATCGTCGAAGATCATTCAAATCATGTGGAGATTTTTAATAATAAATATTAACGATCAAATGTCTCAAATATTTAAATAGAGAGAAAGAAAAAAGGAAAGCACACACGTTTTACACGAAGCTTTGACAAAAGTCAAACTATGTAAAAAAAGGTATCAAAGAGAAAATAAAAAGTATCAAATAATGAAGTTGATGCACGCTTTTTCTTCTTTCTGCACGATACTCGGTGTATAAACTATCCGTGAACGCGGATTGGCGTTTAAAAATGTAGTCCATCGAAGCTCGCAGCTCCGACGATCGATCGGTCAGTAACCGAAGCGGGTCAAATGCCGGCGCATTCGCAATATTAAATTCCTAAAAGTTCCGACATCGCTCGCCCTTACGCGAAGCAGCGTCTAAGTATCTTACGTTGAGCAAGGTGGATCGTGTCCTCAATCGCGTTATGTGATTGGGATTTCAACCCCTAACTGATCATCGGCAACCTTCAGGCGTTTATACAATTTTTCTCTATTGACTTCCTAATTAGCATCTACTAAGTATAATTCAATCAATCAAGATTTGAGAGACATTTTTATGCGGTCTTCTCGAAATCCTTCGAGAAAAGATTATCCCGCGATTATTATGTAATTAATTTTATAATTATCGTATATCAAGTAAACGCCAGTTAGGGATGGAAATGATTTTTCGCAAACGCGATCTACGACAAGACAGAAGAAAATGAAGTGTGATTAGATACGTGGAACAAATAATTTATTTAATAACTCGCAACATAAAGCATTGAAAATTATATGAATCTGATTGTGAATGGCATCTTCGACGAAATCAGATCAACATCAGCTTTAGGCAGTTATTTTTGAACTATTTTTGCAACCATTGACAAGTAGCTTAGATTATTTAATATACGATATTGAAATAATAACACACTTTATAAGTATTACTATTAAAGACTGTATATCAATATTCTTATTATAGTAAAGACATCTTATTTTATATCATTTCACGGCGATAAATGGTTGCATTATTATTATTAAGGAATCTTGCGCAATTACAGAATGAGAGAAATTACCCGTACTATTGTTATGTCCCAAATGTAATCGCATTTCATGTCCTTCTGTTGCACGCAATTGATAAGATTGCGATAAATCCACGGAGGATGGACGATTGTCAGGGTCGAAGGACATACATGTTACTTCTAGCTCTCAGGATCCACCTCTCTCCGGCTCTCTCATCGCCGGGTCGATCGTTTAAAGCGTCGTTTAAGATTCAAGAGAGACGAAAGAGTCTAACAGCAAGAATCGTTAAAGAGACCGCGAGACGATGCAAGGTTCTAGCCTACAAAAATCGAGCGATAACTTGTCTATTTCTCAATATCGTATATTGTTAATTAGCTAATTATTGGTACCGCCAAATGTATTCGGTAGCATGACTCTTCGCAACGCATCACAGGCCGATACAATCAAATGGAAGGCCGTGTGCTTCGTACATTGATATTCGTTTGCTTCTGGTAACTGATATATTAAAGCACCGATAGTATGTGCGCGATAGTAAGTGCTATAAAAATTGATTTAACTACTTGAAATTCTTCAACATTGATTTTAATATCTTTTCACAATGTTTGTCTTGTCCGACTCTAACAAATATTTCGTCTTTCTAATCTTATATATAGATTAGAATTTCGTTTCGATTTCCAAATTAATTTTATCAAGATAAAAACATACAACAGAAAAGCTGAGAAAGAATTTTTTCGGAAACATACCAAATTAATTTTTTTTATTTTAACCTGTTCCTACATCTTTCCTCTGTGCTTAAAAATTATTTTCAAAATTTGAGATATGTGTTATAGCTAAATCAACTGTTACACTGTCTTAAATGTACGTTTCATTTCGCTTTTTTCCATTCGAAATTGCCACCGAAAACATAGTCGGACGCATCCTCAGCTTGAGAAAGCATATGTGTGTGATATTTTTTGACTAAATTTTAGAAAGATATTGATCCCTACTAGAAGAAACGATGTTTATTAATTATTCATTTGATCTGCAAATTTTACTAGATTGTAGTGGCTATAACTATAAGGTCTGCCGCACATTATTTTGTCGTTATGTTGAGAATTAATACTATCTAAATAGCAGACAATTGAGAAGTTTATTCTCGGATTTCGTTATTTTCTAAATAGTCAAGATCAATCTCGCCTGATTATTCTTGTACGTATTACATGTAACATCTTACGAAGGATGGAACGCTGTATCCAGTCTAATCCAAAAAGGATATTTAAAAAAATGCGCTGTCAAAATCTATTCAAATTACGTATTAATTAATCGACCTTCGCAGTGCACGATAACAATTCTACCGTGGTGTTTTGGAATAACAAAAGTCACATAGATTTAAAATTATGAAACAGATTTATATACGTTGCAATTGTTAGGGCCGGTTGTTTCATCTTTGGATAAACTATGTAGGAATTTACCTATTGGATAAACAAGAATAAAAGAGTAAGAGCATAAGAGAGTAAGAGAATAAGACAGTGAGCTGAAATTTACCAAAAAGTGGAACAATCCAGCCTTAAACTCGTTGAATAATTGTCATTTATTTTGAGCAAAAATCATATTGCGATATTTGGTGTATAATGACTCTCGATATAATTGCAGTTATATCAAGAAATTACGATTTTTTATTAAATAGAATCACATCTCTCTTCAAATTTCTTGCTTTACGAATACAAAGATTGTTGGCCTAGATTTAATTTGAAAATCATTTATGAAACTTTAATAAGGCTTCTCTAAAATAAATATAATATTTTCAATCCGCTAATATACAAAATCAATTGAGTCTTTCCGAGACTAAAAAATAGTCCTACAGTTTACTTCTCGTCTGTGTTTGTCTGTGTTTGTCTTGTAAATTTATACATCACACTTCTGGAATACACTCGATATTCTTCGATATTTTTGCTAACGTCAACTTAAACGCTAAAATCAACTTAAACTTTTGGAAATTACGTCCTAATTGCATAAAACGAGATATAACATAACGTAGAATTAACGCAATTTATAATAAACGATTCGGCGAGCGCAATTTACACAATTAACAAACAATTTGCTATCTAAGACCGTCGCTATCTGGACCGCCGAGCAGAGAACGTTCCTTGCACGATTACAAATCACATCGATGGAACACATTGCGAGTAGGTTTACGTCTACAATCCCAATTCTGTGAATTGAAGTCGCGAAGCCTTCGTTTGATTACAACTGCAAGGACGGTCGCGTGTGCGTGTACGTGACATTCGGAACGTTCAACGACAAGGCGGTAACAACAATAACAACAACACTTGTCGCCTTTCAGTATAGATAATGAGCATAACGCTGATATTTATTCCTCGTCGAGTACAGACGCTCTCCTTCATGAGTCAAGAGGCATGCATAGAAATGAAAACGTCATTGATTAGGTCTTTCATATAAATTCCATTTTTGCGCGTTACAACGGCTCGATAAGGACACAGCATCATGCACTTGGATTGTTTACTAAAGCATAAAATCGCAATCAATCACAGCCAAATCGCTAGATACAAATCGTATTTTCGCGAGCGAGCTTTCATATCCTCTTTTTTTTTTTAACGAATTATTAATATCTGAACGAACAACTAATTGGGAAATTAATCTTTAACTTAAAATATTCGTTTCTTTTAAGAAAGAAGTATTAAATAATTCCATTTTCCTTCAAACAGCTAAAACATAACAATCGAACGCTTGACAATATGTAATTTACAAATCGCCTAACTTGCTTTGGATTCGCTTAAAATTAAACAGGACTGGAATAGAATTACCAGTGGAAGACAGAACATACACATGTTTGTGAAAACAAAATATATATTTCGGAAATAATATAGGTATGTATATGTATATATATATATAT